GGGTAGGCAAACTAGCACAACCTCCCTCTGCAGAAGGTACTCTGTGGCAGCCCCTTCCAAAATTATAGTCATACCACATGACCCAGAGAATGTATTCCTGGGTGTGAACCCAGCTGACTTGAAAATGTCTGTCCCCCCTAAAAACATGTGCCCATGTCTGTCTATGGTGGTTCATGACCTCCAAAAGTACAAATGTGCTTTATGAGAGTCAGCTTTCCATGGCTCTGACAGGAGGGAGGCTTAGTGTGTTCCATGGTTTCCGGTTTCAGTTCTTGGTGGTTCGACCTGGGTGGGGCCTATGTCAGAGGATACCTGTTCACTTCATGGGTGTGAGAAGGGAAAATGGATGAAGAGGAAGAGCTGGGATCTGGGTTGTTCAGGAACTGTCCTCTTCAAGAACAGTGCCCACATATCTGGGCCCATGGTCCTACCACAGCCAGGCCCCAAGTTGCCACCAAAAGCCACACGTATGCCCAGTGTCTGTGCATCTACCTGTGACCATGTAGGTGTCCAAGGGCCACCATTGGAGCCAAGCTAACTTGGGTGACCTGTGCTGCCACATGGGGTCATGGTATCATTCAGGCCCAAGCTGCTGTCAAGGGCCATGTCTGGATACATGGTCCAGCAGCAGCTGGGGTCTATGTTGATGTCTGTGGCCTGTGTCACCTCAGGAAGCCACAGGAACCATGTGTGATGAAATCAGAGGGCTGTCCTGAGCCATCCCTGCCCTTTGCTGGCCCAGGGAAAGCTGGCCTTGCCTCTCACTGGACACTGCAGCAAGAGAGCTGGCCCTGCCACAGGAGAGCTGGCCCCACACATGGGAGAAATGGCCTCACCTTTCTCCGTGGGTGAGGGAGAACTTCCCCTAATGGTGTGGGCGCAGGGGAACTGGCCCCCCTCCTCCCCAGTGGCCCTGGGTTGGCCACACTTACTTTGCTTTGTTTTGGTTTGATTTTTTAAAAATTTCTTTGGGGGGGGGGCTGGAGAGATGCTCAGAAGTTAATAGCACTGACTGCTCTTCCAGAGGTCCTGAGTTCAATTCCCAGGAACCGAATGGTGGCTCACAACCATCCGTTATGAGATCTGGTGCCCTCTTCTGGTGTGCAGAGATCCATGGAAGCAGAATGTTGTGTACATAATAAATAAATAAAATCTTAAAAAAATTTCTTTGGGGGATCACTGCAGATGTTAGGGGAGGATATGGGGGGACTGCGAGGTGAGCAGAATTAGGGTGCATGATGTGACATTCCCAAAGAATCAATAAGGAAACTTTGTTAAAAAACAAAAAACAGTGCCAGTGACCTCATCTTAAGATGCTTCGGTCCACATCCTAGAGCTTCCATCGCTCCTGGTGAGCAGTGCCATGAGCTTGGTGAACCAAACCTTCAATAGACACAATGGCTTTTTTTTTTTTGTGGGGATGGACATTCAGATTCAAGCATTAGAGGTGGTGTGTGGTATGCTTCTGTAATCCCAGAGCTTGGCAAAAGACTGGGGCCAGGCTGGGCTACATAGCCAAACTTTGGCTGAAAAATAATTGACAAACTAAAACACCCTTCAATAAGTGATTAGGAACAGCTGGGATTAGTGGCTCATGCTATTAATCCTAGCACTTGGAAGGCAGAGGCAGGCGGATCTCTGTGAGTTCAAGGCCAGCCTGGTCTACAACTAGAGTACCAGGACATCCAGGACTGTTACACAGAGAACCCCAGTATCAAAAAACAAAAAAGGAGAAGAAGAAGAAGAAGAAGAAGAAGAAGAAGAAGAAGAAGAAAGTTCCAAGATAGCCAGAGGTACATAGAGACTCTGTTTCAAAAAAAAAAAAATGATGAATTAACTGTGTTTTATCCACACAATGGAATATGGAATATTTTCAGCAACAAATAGAAATTGTATATCTAGCATAAAATGATATAGATAAATCTTTTAATGTTAATTATAATTTTATATTTACATATATGGCCTACATGTATGTCTATGCACCACAAGCATGCCTAATGCCCTCTGAGGCCAAAAGAAGGTATGAAACTGAAGTTACAGACCCCTGTGAGCCTCCATATGTGTGCTGGGAATTGAGCCTGGATCCTCTAGAGGAGCAGCCAGTGGGTGCTCTTAACTGCTGAGCCATCTCTCCAGCCCCATACAATGGCATAGATAAATCTTAAGTGCCTGGTACTAAGTGAAAGAAATCCCTGAAAGAGCTATAGCATAGATGACTCTGATTGTACAGTGTGCTAGAAAAGGGAAATTCCCCAAAGACTGACAGGTGACTAGCTGTCAGGGGACTGGTGAAGGATCTGGAGGTGGGGCAAAGTTGGCAAGTCTAGGTAGTGTTTTTAGGAGAGTGAAACTATTTCATATGATTCTATCAGGGCAACTAGAAAACATTAAATATTTGTCAATGAGCAGACTTTAATGTACATAAATTTTAAAAGTTCGTCTAGTGGGGTGGTAGTGGTGCAAGTCTTTAATCCCAGCACTCGGGAGGCAGGTGTAGGTGAATATCTGAGTTTGAGGCCAGCCTGGTCTATAGAGTGAGTTCCAGGACAGCGAGGGCTTCACAGAGAAACCCTGTCACAATGCCCCCACCTCCCCAGGAAAAAAAAAAGTTCATCTAGGAAGTCAGATGGAGTATGAGAAGCAAGCAGAGAATCTAGTTGTTGCACAGGTACAGAAAGAGTGCCACTTAGGGAGTGCTCCACTGCTGACCTGGAACTGAGTGGAACCTGGAAGGCCACAGAACACCTGAGGCCTGGGAGCCAGGCAGTGAGCATGTTCCGTGGGAAACCCAGGCTCACACACAGGACCCCACATCGTAGCCTACCTTTGGCTCCCCTCCTGGCTCTGACCCACTCCAACCGGGAGCTTTAGTACGTCTGTACCTGAGGCCTTTGTGTGGTGGGGGAGGCATACATAACCTCTGGGGATCCATGAGCTCTTTCAGTGTCAGCAGGTACACTGTGACTAAGACCGATTCTGGTGGCCTTCCCACCCACAGAGGCTTGGGCAGCAGACCCTGCCTGCTTTCCCCTCAATTGTGGTGGTTACCACCCCCAGCTCCTGCAGAGACATCTTCTCATGGGTGATGCCATCTGTGTCAGCTTCTGAAAGAGCCAAAGAGCCACGGGACTGGGACTACAGGCTTGGCAGTAGGGATCACTTAATTGAGGATTAAGGATTAATTGGGATCTGCAAGATGGGTGGTGCTGAGGCTGCTGAAGCCAGCCCTGGCACCTCAGAGTCCTGATTCAGCTGCTGCTCAGGGCACTGGGGCTGCCTGCATACTCCACCCGAGGCCACCTTGTGAGGACCAGCGTGCCCCGACTCCAATCATTTTATTTCTTGTGGAAATAAAATGTGTGTGTAAGTCAGAGGTTGGACTCTGACATCTTCCCCAATCGCTCTCCTCCTCTCCATTGTTATCATCCTTAGAGACTCTCTATGTAGTCCTGCCCTAGAACTCGCTCTGTAGACCAGGCTGGCCTCGAACTCACAGAGATCCTCCTGCCTCTGTCTCCTGAGTGCTGGCATTAAAGGTGTGCACCACCGTGCCTGGCTCCTTATTTTTTGAGAAAGGGTCTCTCACTGAACCTGGAGCCCCCTGTTTTGGCTAGACTGGCTGGGATTAATGGTATGCACCACACCCGCTGCCCTTCCTTCCCCGTTTTGAGTCAGGGTCTCACTGTGTAGCGGAGGCTCTTGATCTTCCTGCCTCAGTCTTCTGACTGCTGGTTATAGATGTGTATCACTGCCTCCTACCTTTGCCTGAATCTTGATCTTGGGCTTCTAGACCTGAGAGTGTTAAATTAAAATGCCTCTACAAGCAGAGTGGTGGCAGCACACACCTTTAATCCCAGCACTCAGGAGGCAGAGGCAGGCAGATCTCTGTGAGTTTGAGGCCAGCCTGGTGAGTTCCAGGACAACCAAGGCTACACAGAGGAACCCTGTTTCAGAAACACAAACAAACAAAAAACCCAAGAAAATAAAAAACAAAACAAAAACCAACCAACCAACCAACCAAACAACGACAAAAACACCCAAAAACCAAAAACAGGAATGGCTGGAAACCCATAGCTTCCCAGAAATCCAAGGGCTAGAAGAGGTGCTGTGAAGGCTCTGCGTGGAGATGTCTCTGGTAGAGTGAAGATTTAGGTTAGGGATAGTAGTAAAGAAAAGGACAGGCAGCTAGTTAGGGCAGGAGGGCCCTGATTCCTGCTAGGCAGGCCCTATGCTCTATGCTGACCTAAAAGGCCCCCAACACAGACTGTCTTAGATGGGCCTTGAGTTGGGCAGGGCTGGCCAGTCCTATGCCCTTTCCACTGTACTCAGGAAGTGCTGGGGGCTCCTGGAGGAAAGAAGTCCCAGCTATTAGACCCTCTGCAAGCTCCCACCCTCCTGGAAGGTGAAGGCTGAGCTCTGAGCAGCGCCCCTCCCAGGCTGTGTCAATGATATATATATGACAGAGCTGGGAGAAGGGCTCTGTCCTGGGAACTTCAAGCTCAGAACTCAGAAGCACTGATGTGTGCATGTGTTCCTGTGCCCTTGCGCGCGCACGTGCGTGTGTGCATGTGTGCGTGCGTGCGTGCGTGCGTGCGTGCGTGCTTACCAGCCCAAAGATGTCTTTTTGTTTTTGTTTTTGAGACAAGGTCTCCCTAGGTACTCTTTGCTGGCCTGGAACTCACTTTGTAGACCAAGATGGCCTCGAACTCATGGAGATCCATCTGCCTCTGTCTCCTGAGTCCTGGGATTAAAGGCATGTGCCACCATGCCTAGCTCAGAGATATCTTTTGACACTTGCTTTGGACTGGGCCCAGGATCCAGAGACGAAGAAGAGAAGATCTCCATACCCCCTGGAACTCACAGTTGAGGTGACTTGTGGTTAGAAAGCCCAGCTCCAGGGGTTGAATTTTGGAGTCACATGCCAGACCTCCAGGATGAGCCAGTAGGGGAAATCTCTTTCTCCACAAGCTGGAAGACGCTTTATTGTCAGAGAACCAGGGAGAGGTAAGGGGTGATGACAGGATAGGGCAGTGTGCCCGGGCAGGGATGAGGAGGAGGCACACAGTCCTGTACATAATGATGAGTTTCAAGGAACACATGAGATCCTCTGCGGTTCAGAGGTTGTAATCCTCCGGTCTGGTCCACTCCAGCTCCTATACAGGCTCATCGAGACATCATCCGAACAAATTCTGCCAGGACAAAGCCAAGGTTTTAGGTCTGCCCTCCTGACCCCATTAGGGATAGCAGACCTGCCTGCCTGAGGGTGGGCTCGAGTGTGCCTGAGGAGACCTTCAAAGGCATCTGTGAATCAGGCAGGAGGGGCCTCAGCTGCCCAGACTAGCATCTCGGCTCTCCCTACTTCCTTTTCCTAAGTAAGCACTTTAGCTTTCCTGACTGGAGTTTCTTCTCTCACCAGAAGGGAGTATAACAGCTTTCCCTCCTTGATTCTACGTAATGTTTAACCAGGGTCTGTTTAGATTAGTGGTTCTCAACCTTCCTGGTGCTGTGACCTTTTAATACAGTTCCTCTTGTTGTAGTGACCCCCAAACATAGAATTATTTTCGTTGTTACTTCATAACTGTAATTTTGCTACTGTTATGAATCCTAATGTAAATATCTGATATGCAACCCCAAAGGGGTCGAGACCCCCAGCTTAATATCTACTGGTTTAGTATCTCCCAGGGCATATGCAGCTAAGCAGGGGAGGCGTTACCTTCAAAGTCAACCAAGCCATCTCCATTGAGATCGATGTCCTGGAGTATCTCATCTACCTCCCTCTGGCTGAGGCGTTCCCCCAGCAGAGCCTTGAGGGCTGCCCGGAGCTCCCCAACGCTAATACAACCGTCTCCGTTGGTATCAAACTGTGACAGCATAGATGGTGGCATGGAGTCACTGGCTGAACCCTTCATCCACTCAGCCTCCCGCTCCCTGTAGCCCCACAGTCTCACCCGCCCTCCACCCCTTCCACCCCAGGTGCACCTCCCGGAAGGCATCTCGAAGCTCCCTCACGCCAATCATGTCTGCAGTCTCTGCCAGCAGCTTGGGGCCCATCAGCTCCACAAAATCTTCAAAATCCACCTTCCCACCACCTGAAGGTACATCTATCCATTAAAAACCCTGGCCTGGCACCTGTCCTGCCTTCACCAGCCCACTGCCTTCCCGCTGGCCCCTGCCCCCTCCTTCATGGCATTATATGGGCTCTCATCCCAGGGTACCAATGGCTGCCGCTATTAGTGGAAATTGTCCTCAGCCAGGCTCTTAAGACTCATTGCTCTTTCTTGAGTCCCTGATGTGTGACTCTAGACACAACTCTTTGAGCTTCAGTCTCTTTATTGGTGAATGGGGTCATGGCATCCTCCCTACTCTCCTAGTAGATTCTTAGGAGGCAGCGCTCTATTTAAAGACAGTTTTGCCCTGGGCTCTTGGAACAGCCTATGCAGCTACCTCAGGTCTGGGCCAGGGCTGGAGTACGAGAGTGGGGTGGGTCTGAAGCACATACTGATTTGTTGTGATATCTCAATGAGCTCCATCTCGGTGGGCATGTAGCCCAGCGTCCGCATGCAGGCACCCAGCTCCCGGTACCCGATGTAGCCATCCCGGTCTCGGTCAAACTCCTGGAAGGCAGCCTGCAGCTCTGCCAGGCAGAGTGAGGTTAGTCCTTTCCCAACCCTCCCGCCACCTTGCTGCCAGCTAGGATCAGCCCATCTAATATTCCCTTTGTTCCAAACTCTGCTTGATTTTAAGCCTCAGGTCTTATTTGTCTCAGGGCCTTTGCACATACGCTCTTAAAATTTTGTTCTCTCATGAAATGTTTAAGAAGCATCTACTATGTGTCCATTTCTGCTCTGGGTGATTAAAAAGAGAAAGAAGAGAGGGAAGGGAGGAAAGACAGAAAGAGCTGTGACTCCAGGAGGCTACAGTCTCCAGGAAGACTTCTCTGCTCATTTCTCCCTCTCCAGCCCATTCATTGGTTTTCCTTGAGTGCTTTATACAACGGTAGCTATCTCCAGAAGGTGGGGACCTTATCTACTTAGTTAGCAGTGTTTCCTGGCTCTTAGTGAGGGGCCAGGCCCACAGTGGGCAGCCAGGAAGTGCCAGCCAGAGGCCCTTGACCAGTGTGGTCAATAAGACCAAGGTGTTGGCAGCAGAAGAAGAGAGGGTTTGCCACCCCTCCCTACCCAGTCTCACCCCTCTTACCCCTCCTGAGCCCTGCGGAGGCCCCAGCCCCAAACCTCTCTTCTAATCTCCACCCACACCCCCACCTCAACTAGCCCCTCCTTTAACCCTTTACCTTCGATCTCCTCTGGTCTCAGCTCCCGGTCCTGCAGGACACAGATGGCTTAGGGGTTCCTTGGCCCACCCAGGCCTCAGCACCTTCCTTCTGTTTCTTGGGGTTTGTCATCCAGCCAACACCACAGCATACCCAGGGCCTGTGCCTTATTCTGTCAGACACCTGCCTGGGTGTCTTGGTGTTCCTTTTTCATACAACCTGCCAGGAGACCCCCAAGACCCCTCTTCCCACACTGTCTTCTGAGGTACCTAGCTCTTTTTGACAGAGAAAGATCCCAGGGTCAGACAGACCCTCATACTCAATCCAGCTGGCCTCAATGTCACTGCAAGTCTGCCTTGCCCCCTGTCCCTCTCCTGAGGACCTTGCCACCTCTAGCCATCTTCCCCTTGGAAGTACTTCCTTTTCTATTTTTGCAGTGCTGAGGGTGTAACCCTGGGCTGGCTATAAGCAAGTGCTCTGCCACTGGGATGCACCCCCAACCCTTGGGTGACTGTTTCTCTGGATCCCTACCCACCCACCCCCATGCCTGGTATGGCTCTGAGGGCTCCCTGAACTCTTAACTTTTTCTGGAGTTACCACTCGGCGGCCCACCCTGGGGTTTCATGTCTATCTTCCTCTCCAGCTTCTCCCTCCTATTTGGGGAGCGACGAGGCTAAGGGACCAGGGCAGCAGGCTGGCAGAGGAGTGACTGTACATACGAGCTGGGTGGCAGCGATGCTGGGTCGAAGGAAGATGCAGGCTGGCCCCACCAGGCTGCTGAGCACCGAGTAGCCCTGTGTGCCCTCCTGCTCCTCAGCTCTGGGGCCAGGGCTAGGGCTGGAGCTCCCTAGGGGGGCTCTAGGCCACTGCCAGCGTTCCTGTGGCAAAGTCAGCCATGAGCTGAAGCAATGCCCCGTCTCCCCCAACCCATTGTCATCAGCTGATCCTTTTTCTGGGACACAGCACCTGACAGAGAGGGCGGAGCCCTGGAGTACACAAGACCGGTTAACACCCTAGGCTGGAAAGGCTCACTCCTAAGAGGTGAGGACCTCCGCCAGGTCATTGAGGAAACCTGTGGCTCTGGTCACCCTGGCCAAGGCTGAGAGAGTAGGGCCTGTATAGAATGGACAAGCTGGCCTATCAACTTTGCAGGAGAGACCTAGCCAGGCTTAGGGGCTGGGGTGGGGGGATGTCCAGAAAAACATCTCCTTCAAGGAAAACATACAGATGCCCCCTCCATCTCCTCTGGAGCCCACAGCCCATCTCTAACCCAGCCCAGTACCCCAGGTCTCTGCCTACTACTATCTGTCCTATACATGGGGCCACCCAGATTTCTGGCCTTTGTCTTCCTACCTTAGGCCCCCCGCTCCAGGGCCTCTTGGCACAGTTCCCCATGGGTTCCTGAACCATGCCAGGCCTGAGTCCTGGGAGGATGCTGTGGATTCTGCCAGCCCCCTGCTGTTTCCAGGGACAGCCTGGGAGCACTGGAGAGGATTTTCCTGGGGTTTTGTGGGGAAGATCTGTAGTGGGTGGGCAGGCCAGGCGGGGAGCCCTGGGCCCGGGGCTTGGGCCCTAATCCAATCCGGGATTATCTCTGAGTATCTCTGCGAGTGTTGGGGGGGGTACACAGAGTCAAGGTCCCCTGGAAGCCACAGCCTCCTGTAAGTTCCCAGGAAGGTCTTCTGAACACCCACTCCCTCTGGCCCTTCTTCCTCTCAGCCTTGCTCTAATCTCCCCAGTCAGCACCTTCAGAAGTAGGCTTGGATCCCCATGGGAAAAGCTGGCATCCCGTGCCTGGGCCAGCTGGATGCCATCTCTCCCAGACTGGCAAGTGGGGACTGGAGGATGAAGTCCTCAGAGAGAGGGGCTACCTGCTTTTACCTTGGGTCAGACTGAAGTCTCTGCACCAGGACCCTGTCTCTGTTCAGGGCTCATTCAACCTAGACTTGGACCAGTGCTCAACACCTTGCATAAAGGGTCAGTGCTGGGCACTGATCCCTCAGTATCAACAGAGATGGCTCCCCTAACCTCTCTGGTCACCTACATGTGGACTTGGCCCTGGGTCTGTCTTACATCCAGCTCGATGTGGGGTCACTTAGTAAAGGATAGTCCTTGCCCCTTACCTGCCCATAGGCAGCTTGCACCTGGGCCTCCAGCTCACGGAGGAGGGCCCGCCTGCGGGCATTAGGGCTGGCTAGGTCCTGGCTGGGTCCTGGAGTGTCTGTGGATGGGCTGGAGTCCTCTTCAGGGAGGCTTCCATCTGCCGGGCCCTCAGGCAGGGCCATGGACATGGGTGTGGTACCTTTTCTGTTCCTGCTGGGGCTCTTTGACCTGTAGGTAAGTGGCTCAGTGGAAGCTGTGGGTGTGGTTTCCCTTTTGGCTCTGGGGCTTAGTAGAGCCCCACTCCCCCAAAGTCACTAACTTCTTCTGTTGCCCCTCCCAAAGCACATCTTTGAAATCGTCACCTTCTTCCCACACCACTTTCCAGTTTTTACAGACTGCGCCCTGGGGCTCCTTGCTGACCCAGGTCGCCAGGCTCCCAAGCTGGATGGCCTCTCTGTCCCCATGTCTTGCCTGCACATCCCTGGCTGGTGGTATGAGCATTCTCTGTACCCTGTTCACTCTCCATCTTGCTGTGGCCTTTGCTACTTCCCATATCGTCTTGGTCAGCAGCATTCCCACGTCCCTCAGGCCCTCACACTCTCTCTCTGTGCCTTTACCTTTCTCCGCTCCCCTCAGCCCCTGTCATTGTTTCTCGGAGGCTCTTTCTCACCTGGCTCTGTCTGTCTGCCTTTCCTACTCTTCTACCATTCCCTTCCCAGAATGGCTCCAACAGTCTGGGAAAGCATGCCACTTGCTTCACCCTCCCCCACCCAGAGCCTCAGGACACCTCTGTTCCAATCTCTGTCTCCCCACCTCCTGTGTGGACCTCTTCACTGACTTGCAAGTTCTTCCCAAGGAACAAGGGTGGAGGTGCCACAAAACCCCCTTCCCCCTGGCCACACCCCAGCCACTCACCACACAACTGCTTACTCCTCACTTCCAGAATGAGGTCAGCTGTGGCCTGCTGGCCTGCTGTGGGCCCCTCATGATTTATTCACCTGCCCTCTGTACCAGCCTTTGTCCCAGGGAACCAGATCCCATGCCATGTCTGCCATCTGAGCTGCTGACTCTATCATCCATTCAATGACTCTCTTTCAAACATCAAGCAGGGGGCAGGGGCCTCTAGTTCACTTGGTAGAGTTCTTATGTAACATATAGAAAGACCCTGGCTTCAATTCTTAGTTCCGAATAAACCAGGCATAGTGGCATACACCTGTAAAATACCCAAGAGTAGAGCTAGAAGAATTCAAGTAGAGCTAGAAAGTTCAAGGTCAACCTTGGCTACATAGTGAGTTCTAGACCATCTGGCTTGCATGAAACCCCTGGGTGGTTATCTAGTCCCAGGCAAGCAACTGGGACCACATAACAGACCCTACCTGTTCTAAGGACTCCAGCCTCAGGTGAATCTGAGACATGAGCCATCCAGAAGGCTGTGCTTGGGAATGAACTTGAGCTTTGCTCTCTAGTCTGTGTCCACTGATGTCAGTCTAGCCCTGGTTGATGCTGACAGCCATCAACAGTGACCTGGTAATGTCTGGGTTCTGGAACCCTCAGATAGTGTTGGGAAGAGCCTTCAGAAGGCAGGGAAGGGCATCGGTGACCTCTGTGAAAGGTAAGGGCAGCAAGAGATAGGGGCATCAGAGGGTAGTGTTGCTTGAGGGTCAGCTCTGAATCCTCTGATCCTGGGAGCAGGCAGCTAGCCTCACTTCTGGGCCTGTTGACTGGGTATGAGCAGCACTTTCTGCAATGTAGGACTACAGTCCCAAAGGCTGTCAGAGGGAGGCCTTGCTGTGCTTGGAGACAAGATAAGGTGGCTGGGAGTAGGTGGCCTCCAGGAAGAGGGGACAGTCTAGATGCAGCCTAGAGAAAAATCTGAGGTCTGAGATAGGCTAAGTCTGAGAGGCTGTGGACTCTGGCCAGGAGGTCTAGATTGGGACCAGCTCTTTGTTACTGTTCATAGTGACTCAGCATGTGGCTTTCCTCAGCCCCTCTGGACTCTGCCAGGGACATCCCTGAAAACATTCCCTTGTGTTTTGCAAGGTCTTAGAAGGGGCCAACAGGGCTGAGTCCCCCGGGGAAAGTTCTTTACCTTCTGACCCTCTTTTCTTTTCTTTTCAGCACTGGGGATTGAACCCAGGGCCTCATACATGCTGGGTAAATACTCCACCAATGAGCTCCATTTCCAGCCGTCTCTTTTCTCTCCCCCTTTTCTTTTCTTTCTCCTTTTCTTCTGTCAAGTAGCTGAGATTGTAGGCATGCAACACTCAGTGAGTTCAGTGACTTATCTGAAAAGAAAAAAAAAATGGAGGCTAACCTTGTATTTGCCTTTAGGAAGGAAGTGTTGTGTGTTTCAAAGCACAGTCCAAGGCGGCTGCGGCGATAAATTGGTCAAAAGTTAGTGGGCAAAAGTTTTCCACGGGGACAAAGGCTTTGTCTCCTGGCTGGAAGCCCCTCTTGGCTTGCATTCAGGGAGCAGTGTCCTGGAGAGTGTGTTGGTGACCTCAGTTTGCTCAGAGTGACTTAGCCAAACTGAGGTTCCAGTCCTGGTGTCCAGTGTTGTGGATCAATAGATCAGGGCACACTGGGCAGAGGCCCTCAGGAGTCACAAGAAAGGTCAATGGCCTCTATAGAGGGGATGGACAGCAAGAGGGTGGGGTTGGCAGTGTGTCAGCTCTAAATGCTCCGAGTCTGGCCGCAGGAGATTAGCCTGACTTCCGGAACCTTCGGCACTGGGTAGATGCATGGATATGGATGGAAGAGAGGAAAGCTGGGGAGTTGACTGGATATATATAGCCAGGTATATTGGCATCTGAGTGGTTAGCAACTGGAAGGATAGATGGTCAATAGGTGGACAGAGGGAGGGATGGATGGATGGACAAGCAGATGATGGATAGACAGTTGGGTCAGTGGAGGGGCAATTGGATAGCTGGATGTACAGATGGATAGATGGATGGTATTTGATGAGACAAATGCTGGTAAGTGGATAGATGGGGACTGCATAGACAGATGTTGAAAATATGGGTGGATATGCTGGTGGAGGCTGATTGGGTGGGAAAATGAGGATGTGGGCATTCTGGTGGACTGGGGGTTGAGTGTTTGTTGAGTGTACAAATGACTGTGTATATGGAAAGACGGATGAATGGAAGCAGGTGGGTAGCAGGAGCAGGATCTTATATTCCTTTTTTCTTTTGTTTTGTTTTAGACATGGTCTTACATTGTAGCTTTAACTGGCCTAGTACTCACTATGTAGCCCAGGTTAGCCTCAAACTATGGCAACCTCCTGCTTTAGCTTCCTCAGTGCTGAGCTTACAGGTGTGAACCATGGTGCCTGAGTTCTAATCTTTTTATCTGCATGTGTGTATGTATGTGTGTGGCCACTCAAGAAGGTGTGTGACATGTATGTGGGTGTCAGAGGACGAGGTGTCCTCTGCACCATCCACCTTGCTTTCTTGAAACAGGATATCTCACTGGCCTGGAACTCATCAAGAAGGGTAGACCTGCTGGCCAGCATATCCTGGAGACCTGCCATCTCTCCAATGTGCTGGGATCACAGCTACATGCCACCATAGCCAGCATCTCTTACATGGGTCCAGGAGGCAAAACTCTGGTCCTCATGCTTGCACCACAAGCACTTTATCAATTTTTCTATCACTCTAGCCCTTGGGTTTTGTTGTTTATAAATCATGGCTTAGGGTGGAAACCATAGCCCAATGCTTCCCCCAGTCATTGACACTAATCAACACATGACTGAAGATGTGTCTGTCATCCCCCTGACTTCAACTACAGCACCTCTGGTGACAAAGATAACACGCTCTCTCCTCTGTCCCCCACAAGCTGAGTCCAGAACTTGGCACTTCCGAAGCACCACACAAGCCAAAGTGAAAGAGGCAATAGCAAGTGTTGGGAAGGATCAGGGAAACTGGGGTGCTCTAGCTTGATGGTGTGAGCACTGCCTGATGAGTCCAGTGTCCCCTAGAACAAGTGGCCACACGACCCCAAAAGCCAGCTCATAGGTACTACTCAAGAAAATGAGTGCTAGGCGGTGGTGGTGCACACCTTTAATCCCAGCACTCGGGAGGCTGAGCAGGTGGTTCTCTGTGAATTCGAGGCCAGCCTGGTCTCCAGAGTGAGTTCCAGGACAGCCAGAGCTACACAGAGAAACCCTGTCTTTTTTGTTTTTGTTTTTGTTTTTCAAGACAGGGTTTCTCTGTGTAGCTTTGGAGCCTATCGAAACCCTGTCTTGAAAGACAAAAAAGAAAAGCAAGTTTAAGGGAAAATAAGGAAAAGAAAAGAAAAGAAAGTTTAAG